GTAACCGATTCATCTGAGTGAAATGTGTTAATGCTAATCTGAAATTAATTGTTGCTATTTGCTCAGTGGCAATTTGAAGTGATAATCTCATGGGTATTTTTTTTTTCATTCAGTAGTCAACAAATCATTGTTTTGTAGGATAGACCTTGTTCGCTTTATCTCATATCCAAGAATTGAATTTCTACTTTGCTGATCGCTTCCTTTATGATGCTGGCATTGATGACTAAGTTTGCCGCCAACATGCAGATTCAGGACTCGAAGCTTCAAGTTTCACCAAAATCTGCTTCCATCATCCATTCCCTATCGCCATTTGGGTTTGCAAGAGTTGGTTGGAAGTGAAAGAACATCAAAGTAGAAGAAAGTACCATAGCCTAAATTTGTTTATGATGGACAACTTGACAGGAAGTGACCTACACACTTGATTTCATGATCTTCCTCTGCGGCACATATAGAATGAAACATACATTCCAGTTATGAAACGCAAAAGACGGACCCTGTTATAATTTTGAGTGGCGCCTTCATTATGTCTGTCATTCGTAGCCCTCTTCATACGCTAATTCAACCGCTAATATCAGGTGTATTCGTTATCTGCTTGTTTTACCGTTGGGGGTCTTTGGGGTGGTCCTCGTCTTCGACTTTGCCGCCAAGTTTAGAACTCCCGACCTAAAGTTGGTTCACTGTATTGTGTTAAAGATTTTTCTCACTAGGATCTATCTTACAAATTTATAAGTTTACCATTCTTCCTTGCTTTGAATATTGCTGCCACATTCTCCTATCATCCATTCCCTATTGCCGTTTGGCTTTACAAGAGTTGGTTGAAGATGAAAGAAAATCAGAGTAAGAAAAAGTACCAATAGCGTTAGTTTGTTTAAGGTAGACCTTAGCTTGCAAGGAAGCAAGCCACATATTTGATTTCATGACCTTCCTCTGCAGCTCATATGCAATGAAACATGCAGAATCCAGTTATAAAACTGCAATGAGTAACACCTTCTGTAGTATGTCCATCATGCGTAGCCATCTTCATCCACAGGTTCAACTGTTGAAATATGTTGTAATCGTCATCTACTTGTTGCACTGTTGAGGTTAGTCTGGGTCCTTGTCTTCAACCAAGGGTGACCCTACCAGGAGTTTAGAACTCCTGATGGCATTACTTTTGGTGTCATTGGACCATGCAAGCTCTTCTACCATAACCCGAAGCTACCATCAGATGTTGTATGATAGTAGCACATATCTAAATTATTTGTTATTGCAAGATTTTTTTTTTTTATTTAATAGTAATAGTATTAAATAGTTAATAACAGTAGAAGTGCACATAGCTGAGTGGTTAGAATGTTCGCTTTCTGACCATGAGACCTCGGTTCAATTTGTCAAGAAGGAGATGAGGGGTTCGATCCTATCATGCGGCACCTTTGGAAAGTGCCTGAAAACGAAGCTATAGGTTGACCCAAGACTTGTAAGTGAAATTGGGTAGACAGAACTCTCGGGTGCCGTCAATAGCTGTTCTAGCACAAAGTCACAAGTCATCGTGGCTGAGGGCTTCCTTGTGTGCTGGCAGTGTTCAAATTAAAACTATAACTAAGGTCTGCTCTGCATGGTTGCAGTATAAACCACGGGTAGGCTCTGTGTGTGTTGAATGAACACAAATGCGCCTGAGCAAACGTCTGCAATAGGGAATTGCTAGCCACCCTATTAGAGAGGTATCTTTGCATATGAATGGCCAGCTATATATAGACAGCAGAAGCATACAAATATATCACAGTGAACCCAAATGTGTCAGAATTTAGAATCAAATTCCCAACATAGTCTCCTTCCTGAAAGGAGGGTCAGTCAGAAAGTAATTATGTGCAAATACCCTTGTGAGAAGTATTAATCCATCTCTTTTTTTCCTCAACTATGGGTTAAATAGTTTTACCAACCTGTAGCTGGTCAAGCATGGTGACTATGGCTACAACCCTGAAGACATAGTCAATTAGAGGAGGATTTGGATTAAATAGTGTTATACTGGAACACACCTATTCTATTGTTAATAGACTCTCCCACCTATAATAAGTAGGAGTAGTAGCAGTCGCTAAGTTGATCAGTGAGTTGGTGAGTCGGTTGATGCCGGACGCCCGTTAGTCGGATATTAAAGTATCAGCTACCACAACTAGATTGCTGCTTCATTAACTATTATATCAAGTTCCTAACGTTTTGTACGTCAAACTTATTTTAGAACCGAATTAGTACAAATACAAGCATCCACTGTGAAATTACTCTATAACAAATAGCAGATTGGACTGTGCTCTATAGCCTTGGTTGGCAGTCAGTCTAGAACAAGGAAAATTCTTAATTCCAAACCATACTACGGGAAAACAATTTGCTATAGTTTTCATGGATTCAACGCAATTCACAGATAATATGGAAAGAAGCAATAGAGATTCATGATTGTCTAAATCCTGAAGGGATATGGTATTTTTTCTTTTTTCTTTTTTTCTTTTATATATATTTACCAAATTTAGGTTAGTCAGAGGCAGTGTCGTTAGGTTGATGAAAGAAAAAAGAAAGTCATTTGTAACTTTATATAAAGTCATGTAATCCACAGTCCTATCAGAAACACAGAAAACTGGAATTTTCCTAATATCAGGATATTATTTTTTTTTTTTGTGGAGATTGTTTGTACACTGTCGTAGGTTGGTATTTGTTTTTTCGTCTGGTATCAAAAGATGATAATTTTGTTGGACCACAATAAATAACACAAAAACTTACTTGGAAAAATTAAGGGTCAATTTTTATTGACACACATGTGTGTACTAAACCCCGGGGGTAGGAGAGTGGTTGACCTCAAGTCAACATGACACTGAGAGAGGGGGAAATCTCCTTTCATTAGGGCTGCTAAAAAAACTTGTCTGAAGCCAATGATTCAAAAGTATCCAGACTCTAGATGGTTTCCTTTCTGGAAGTGGAGCCACAAACTTTGCACATGACTAGACCCCGCTTTTTTTTTTCTTGGTTTCCATTTGCATTATGGGAAAATTAAATTATTTAATTTTTTAAATTATTATGTTCATTAATTATTTTACTTTATTATTTAAATTTCATTTTCCCAGAACACCAACTTCATAATTGGTACCCAAACTTGACCACAGCTTTATCGTTTGTTCTTGTCTCTCAACACTCCACCCATTCAGATGTGCCTTTATTACATGTTTTTATATACACACACACACACACGTGTGTATGTGTTTTTTTTTTATTGTTTTGTGATTTATGCTCAGCTCTCCGCTTATTGAAGCAACAATGTTTTATATCGAAATAAAATCATCTCTCGTAATTTTACAGCCTGTCTTTACCCACTTCATTTGCCGCTTTATAAAAATAAACTGTAATATTATTTATAACCTGTATTTATCCGACTCTGTGTAAATATTTATAAGGTTCACTGCGGAAATATTAATGTCTTCGATATTGGCCCATAAATATTGCGCAAGAATGATAGAGCGTTAGGTCTCTTGAACTTCTTTGTGCTTTTGGTACCAACACCAAGATGTGGATGTACAATGGTGTAATTGGTAATGGCTGGGAATATGGAATCAGAGAGCCGAGTTCGAGTTTCATTGCATTCACTTACACTCAAATACCCTTGGGAAAGATATGAATCCATCTATGGATAAATAACAGGACAGACTGGAGCCTATATCTTTGGTTGGTAACCAGTCTTAGAGAAGGAAAACTCTGAATTCAAACTAGCCTGGTGAAGATTAGGCTCCGTCAGGCTATTTTGTCCAACACACATCACTTCTGGTACAATTGCAGTGTACACATGGTACCTTTATGATTCTAATTTGTGATAATGAAATTTTAAGATGTCTGGCACCGTTCTGAAATCAGAAAAATTCCAAGACATTTTCGGGACTGAGATTTTACTTTTATGTGCAGCATCCCTGTTTGGTTTCAGTGGTAAAAAAGAAGAAATAAAGGGAATACCATCCTGGGTATGATGATAAACTACATCCAACAGCAAGGCCTCTAATCAACACAGTGAACCAACTTTCTTAGCAGCTGACCTAACGATGGATTTAATATAGTCTTTTTACTTCATGTCAGCTGAGAACGTTAGCCCGAGAAGGCACAATATTCTAAGCATGGACGTATGGTAGACTTATAGATATGTAAGATAGATTCTGGAGAGAAAAATTGTCTCGTACGACACAATGAACAAACTTTCTTAGCAGCTGACCTACGATTGACTGACTGACTTATTATCATCGTCATCATTGTTCATTCTTACTTGATAATTGCTTTCACTTTTGTGTTTGTTATTATTATATATTATCGTTATCAACATTAATATTATTTGGTTATTCTAATTTTCTGTCATTGCATTTATTTTTCTGATTGCTATTAATCTTGTGATAGAAAATGAACGAGATGAATATTTCAAACAACCTTTTTCCATTTTTTGCCTGAAACTATAAAAAGCTTTATTTATATGGAGATTTTTTTTTTTCATCCTTTTTATTTGCGGAAAAGTATTTTTCATCTGGTTCTCTGATTTTCCTTATATAAGAGGAATTGCTCTCAAGGTTTTTTATTTTCTATTTTGACTTGTAAAATCGTAGTTTTACTTCTTTTTTTTTTTTTTAAATAATTTTTGCTTTCCTAAATCAGTAGCATATTTTAATCAGGTGAGCTTTTTCAATTTCAACAACCTGTAACGCACTTATATTTTTGATAATATATAAACCAAATGGAAGTTAAATGGCCATTGTTCATTCTTAATTAGATTCTTTCCTGGATTTCTCTTTCATTCTTTCTCTTCTGAAACTTTCTCTCTTTAACTTTTTTTGAATCCTCTTTCTCTCTCTTTGAACATCCTTCATTCTCTCTTTATCTCTCTCACTTTGAATTGTCTCTTGCTTTCTCTCTCTCTCTTGAATCCTCTACTTCTTTTACTGTCTTTGATCTCCATTGCCTCTCTTTTCTATGCTCTACTTTCTTCCTCTATTCTTCTTTCCTTCTCTATGTTCTTTTCTTCCCCTGTACTCTTTTCCCCTCCACCCTCTTTTCCTTCTCTTTCTCTTCCCCCTCTCTCTTTTTCTTCCTCCTCTTTTCTTTTTTCTTCCTCCTCCTCCTCCCCTTTTTTTTCCTCCTCCTCCCCCCTATTTTTTCTTTTTCCTCCTCCCCACTCTTTTCCTCCTCCCCCCCTCTTTTTCCTCCTCATCCTATCCCTCTCTTTTCCTCCTCCTCCTCTCTTTTCCTCCTCCCCCTCTCTCTTTTTCCTCCTCCCCACTCTCTTTTCCTCCTCCTCCTCCCCCTCCCTCTTTTTTTTTTCCTCCTCCCCACTCTCTTTTCCTCCTCCTCCTCCCCTCTCTTTTTCCTCCTCCTCCTCCCCCCTCTCTTTTTTCCTCCTCCTCCCCACTCTTTTTTCCTCCTCCTCCCCACTCTTTTTTTCCTCCTCCTCCTCCCCCCCTCTCTTTTTCCTCCTCCTCCTCCCCACTCTTTTCTTCTTACCCACTCTCTTTTCCTCCTGCTCTTCTCCTTGCTCTCTTTTCTTTCCTTCACCCTCTTTTTCTACTCTCTTTTACCCCACTCTGTTTTTCTCTTCCTGCCGTCTTCCCCACTCCTTCCTCTCTTTGTTCTTTTATCCACCTCTTGTCTGCACATTCTTTCTCGCTCTATTCCTTTCTTTGTTTTCTATGTTCTTTCATTCTCTCTCACTTTCTCTCTCCTCCCCACCCCCCATTTTGACTTTCATTCCCTTCCTCCCTCTCCCTGGCATTTTCTTTACACTCTCTTTCTTCTTCTCCTCCTCCTCGAGTTGTCGCTACCTTTATATGAAATACAAGAGTTTCTTCTGACAAACATATTTCCATTTTTTTTCCTCTCTCATTTTAATTCTGAAATGAAATAAACTCGACAGGATATTTCAAGAAAATAAAGGTGCCAAGGTGGGGGGGATGTTGGCAGTATTCGTGCAGGGAATGAAGAAATGCTGCAGAAACAGACTTTGTCAAGTTATGCTGTCTTTCTTCTGCTGATGCACTTCCTGTCAGGAACGCTACTCATTGTGTTGTGTGTTTACTTAAACTCAAAAAGATGTTTGCCAAATGTGCACACGATGGCACTGTCTGTGGCACCTTTAATTGCTCATCGATTATATTACACCCAATTCTCCACACATATACATCTCAACATTTTTTTCTTCTTTTTATTAGGTTTGAGAGAGAATATCCGTTTAAAATGGTGTGCAGAGAAGAAAAAAAAAATCCCTTAGAGTGGTTGGGAAATTAAGTTAGAAATTTGAAAATAAAGACTTCCCCCTCCAAAAATATAAAATGGGTTGATTCGTTTTGTGATCTAATTTTTTTTTTCTTTTTCCCTGATTTAATTTGATTGTTTTTAAAAATTTTTATTATTATTTTATTTTTAATTAAAGTTATCACCCCCCCCCACCGTCTGGAGATTTTTTTTTTCTTCTTCATCAAAAATGTTTATTAGGATGATGAAGAAGCAGCTGATAAAAGAGCATATTCATATAAATTGACATCTATATGGGTCATGCAGCACAGAAAAAGAACAATTATTTTTCTTATTTATTTCCTATACTTAACCAAAAAGTTACATGATAGTGAGAAGGAGGAAGTGGGGGGAAAAAGAGGGGAGAATGAAGCGGAGAAAAGGAGAGGGGAGGAAAGAGAGAGAGGAGGAGGAAGAAGAACAGTGGATGGGGAAGCAGAGCAAAAGAGAGGGGAGGAAGAAGGTGTGAAAAAGAGAGGGGAGGAAAGAGAGAGAGAGGAGTAAGAAGAACAGTGGATGGGGAAGCCGAGCAAAAGAGAAGGGAAAGAGTGGGGAGTGGTAAAGAGGGGAGGAATAAAGTGAGGGGAGGGGAGAGAGAGGAGGAGGAGGAAGAAGAACAGTGGATGGGGAAGCAGATCAAAAGAAAGGGGAAAGAGTGGTAAAGAGGGGAGGAAGAAGGTGTGAAAAGAAGAGCAGAAAGTAGGGGAGAAGGAAAGGTGTGAAAAGGAGAGGAGGAAGGGGAAGATGGGAGGAGAGGAGGAAGGGGGAGAGAATAGCGTAGTAAATTGGGGGGGAGAGAAAAAGAGGAGAATGAAAGGCATAAACACAAAGGTGAAATGATTTGCCAGACTCCGTCTGCTTTCTAAGAATTATTTGACGACAGGTGCTAGGTTGCAGCAAAAAACAATTTCTCACTTGATCAAGTTTTTCTTCTCTCACTGCCTGTTTTAGATCATCTCCGCAATCTTGTGACCGACCCTTGTCAAGGTACCTGACAACGCAACACAGGGTGAGGTTGATTCTTTTGACCTCTATTTGAAAATGCAGTCTTTGACTCGAATAAGAAATTTTCTTCTTCATTCTGTGTCTCATCAGTCATGACTCTCCACAGCTTCTGGTTTTAAATAACCTGCAAATAGTTGATGAGCCGTAGAAAATGAATCAACAGTATAGGTCTAGAACAACAGAGAACACAGAAGAGCTACCTACTGAGCCTGTTTCTGCATTGAAACCTGACTACATGCTTCGTTCAATGACATCGCTATTAAGCGGATGTTTTGCAAAGTTAGCTGAGATAATGCCAGCAATCTCTTGCATGCGTGCAAAAAGGTCGCCGATCCATTATCATGTAATCTTCTTAGCAACTGTACACGTATAGTTGGCCATCTTGCTACAGTCATAAGAGCAGGCGATACGTGCTAGAGAAAATTGCCACTCAGGAGCTACCTGTATAGAATAATTAATACGTGTTATTAACGCTGGTAAACAGTTGTAACCAGAATTTGATTCTTTAATTATTTTCTTCCATGTCTTTAAGCATTACACTATCCACCAAGAACTCTCATAAAATTAGCAATATAACATATTTCTGTTCATATAAATAACATCATAATAATAATAATAATGTGTTGTGTAAGAGCAATATTTTTATTTTTTTATCATTTCACCCCAAGTAAGACAATAAGCTTGCTAAGATACAAGGGTTTATGGATTTTTAAAAAATAACAGAAAAACAAAAACATTAAGAAGATGAGAAAAAAAACACTATTAAGGGAGAGGACAAAGGAGGGACAATAAAAGAAAAACAAAAATTAAGAAAAACAAAAGATAACGATTGACATTGCATTTAAATTTTTGAAGATCAAATGAGAATGAGAATATGAAGACAAAAGATAACACTATTTTTGAAGATCAAATTGAGAATATGAGAAAAAAACAATAAAAGAACAATAAAAGAACAAGAATTAAGAAGACGGAAGATAACGATTGACATTGCATTTAAATGTTTGAAGATCAAATTGAGAATATGAGAAAAAGAAAACACTATTAACGAGAGAGGACAATAAAAGAACAAGAATTAAGAAGACAAAAAGATAACGATTGACATTGCATTTAAATGTTTGAAGATCAAATTGAGAATATGAAAAAAAAAGAAAAAGAACAAGAATTAAGAATTAAGGATTGCATTTAAATTTTTGAAGATTGGACAATAAAAAGAACAATAAAGAACAAAAAGAAGACAAAAGATAACAATTGATGTTGCATTTCAAATATTTGAAGATCAAAATTCACTGGAAAGCAATAAGCTGCAAGAGAGTTCCACAAGCAAGACGTGTGAAGAGAAGAAACTGCTGGTATAGAACTTATGGTTGCATCTAACCATTTCAACTGTAAAATGATGAGACCTAACTGCTGATTTAGTACTGTTCTTAAATTCATAAATTCGAAGTACCGAAGAGGAAAGCAATATTTATTTCTGAAATAAAACAGAAAATGTGACACAAGTCCAATGTGATGGCAGTCCTGAATCCCTCCTTTTGGAGGGATTCAAGATGGATATCAGAATATTTTATGTTCCAAACATGGTCAACACATTGTAGCCATGTTCATAATTGAGTGTTGGCTTTTTCTTCTTTATTAATAATGCTTCCAGTATTTTTATCCCTTTTTTTTATATTTGGATGATGCTATTATATTTGTATTATCAATGAGTACGTTGTGAATGGAGTTTGGTAGATTTCCATGTTTCCATGTGTAATTAAATGAGACCTAATTAAATGAGAAAATAAAACATCCCTATAACTCTGGATACATAAATATAACAATCCATATATTCAGTTAAAAGTAATATAAAATTCATCCTTGATAATGAATAAAAGTATTGTCAAAAGCGCTCTGACATACAGAACATTTGAACAAATTTTATATAATTTACGTCCTGAAAAGAACAAAAAATATAAGCACACATGAAAAATTATATAAACCGTTATGTCTCAGTGGCTTTAGTGCCTTACATGGGGTGATTTTTGTTAAAAAAGAACATCCTTCATTATACAATCACAGTCTTTTCTTGATGATGGCTAAAATGTATATATATATATATATATATATATATATATATATATATATATATATATATATATATATATAATATAACAAAAATCTTGGTAATCCATATGGATAATCCCAAGGAGGATGAAATCTTGAGAGCTCAATGTTACGTCAGAGTGAATAATTTAATTTAAAGAAAAACAGACCACTTTAAGGCTCCATTGTAATAATTTATTTCACCAGATAATTTTATTTTCTCTAGATCTTCAGACTTCACTTTCAAAAGGTGAAATGAAAAATGAATTTAAAATTTACACTTCTGACGGACAGTATTAAGCTTATGTAAGTTGACATATAAGGTGGTGAGGAATAGTGTGAGTTTAGAAAGGGTAGAGAGAGTTTTAAAATTTATTTTTATATTTCTTTTTATTATAATACTTAATATTGAGGAAGGAGGGGGTAAGGATCAGACATTGACCTATTTAATCGGTCATCTCAACGGAAATTATATGGGAAAAAGGAAAAAAAGAAAAAAGGGGGGAAGCAAAGAGATAGGAGATAAAAGTTGTACGTAGGGTTTATATATATATATATATATATAATACCAAATGAGTTTTTATATATAAATGTAATATGATACCAAATCTATATATATATAAAAAAAAAATTAATATAATACCAAATCAATTTTTATATATAAATACCAAATCTATATATGAAAATTAATATAATACCAAATCAAAAAATACAAATTAATATAATACTAAATCTATATATAAAAATTTATATATAAATATAATAGCAAATCTATATATAAAATTTATATATAAATAGAATACCAAATCTATATATAAAATTTATATATAAATAGAATACCAAATCTATATATAAAATCTTTTATATAAATATAATATAATACTAAATCTATATATAAAATTTATATATAAATAGAATACCAAATCTTCTTAAAAGAAGGCTTCAAATCAGCTACGGCTAAAGAATGCAAGTAAATAAATGACTAAATATTTTCAAAAATAGGCTTTAAGGGGACCAGGCCTAAAAAGCCCAAATAAAAGTGCTCAAATCTGGATGTCCAATAAAGAAGTGGGGGCCCAACAGAGTTACACAATAGATATGTTAATATTAAACAGTACCTTTTCGACATGGGTTTAGATGATGATCTCATCAGGTGGCATACTGGACAGTTTCTTTTTGGCACACACCAATTATCTTATTTACATTGCAGGAGAGGAGGGGGAAAAGACAAAAGAAATAGAAATTGTATTAATTGCCTTTATCCAGGTTCATATAGGCTTAGAAGGTATTTTCTTATGTGTCTACATTTTGACATAATTTCTGTCCTTGAATTCACAATTCAGAATGGTCATGGTATGTGACTATCTTTTAGCTTTTCTTCTTGGCATAGTTTGCAACAGTTGCTATGCATTCTGACCATTCGACATTTTTTAGGATCTTCCACTTAATTTGAGGGTTTCCTCCATACTTTTTC